AGGTCAGTCTGCTGCCGCGACGCGGCATAGTCCATGAGATTTCCAACAGTCTGCTTTATTACTTGCAGGTGTGAAAACTATGAAAGGAGTAGGCCCGATGTTCAACTATTAGTATAAAACAACGTCCATTTACATAGAAATAATATTTAGAGAATACATCAGCAATCTACAAAAATTCACTTTAGGGTGAATCCTTCTTTTGCACTCAATTGTAAGGTATTGTAAGGGCCTAAGATTTGCGGCCAGACGGGAAAAGTAGGTCGTATTAAGAAAGATTGAATAAATACAGCTGCCATTCAAAAATATTGACGTCCCATTGAATATTCTGGTTTGGCAAAAGCAGATTTGCGTGATGCCAGAACTATGTGAAGGGACCGGGATCTTAATCGCACGACTGTATGGGTCTCGTCCAATCACGGCAGCAATCGCCGCGCGCGGCGAGGCGAAACATGGCAGCCGTGACCTCTCGTGGAGTCCTAACCTACACCCCTTTCTTGTGAACATTTGTACCCTCTCTGGAAATTTAAAGGCAGTTGGCACGATAATTTGGTACTCAGCCTGAAATGCTAGTAGGGCACTAACTAGTGGGGGAAAATGTCGAAAAAATGATTCGTTCTTGAAATGTAATTTCGGACGAGTTTCCCGTAGGCATCTTACCAATCACCGCTACCGAAGATACGGCTGCATATGTGTACCCATGTATGCATGCAGCATCACGGCCGCTTCATACCAATCCCTTCGCTTCATAATTTGCTTAGCAAATGAATGAATACGAGCGTCAGGAACGGTCGTCCATTTGTGGGCGGGCGGGCTACTTTCCGCTAAACAGTGCTCGAGAAATGGTCTAGAGGGTAGTGGTACCCCAGTGCCGTCTGCATACTGCGCCCTGGCTGTCACGGGCATTCATACGCATGACCATAGCCAAACGCGCTACTTGTCTGCGCTTTCTCACAGCCACGCGTATCAAGCAATAAAGAACAACAAAAAGTGATAGTGTGCAGACTGTTGGCGTGTTTGGTTTGTGGTTATGCATGTGAGTGACCGTGCGACAGCGTGGGCGGAGTAGAGACGCGGCACCCGTGTACCGCTATCCTACAGCCCCGTCCCCATGCACTTTTGAGCGGAAAAAGCTGTACGGTAGTGCTATCGGACCCATTGTCTTACACATGGAAGGATCAGGATCCACAGAAGTGAATGTACAGTTTGTCTTCAAAATGCATTGACTTCTATGTTGTATCGGAACCTAATTTGCACATCTTTTCTAGTGAATATATTTTGCATTTTATGCAAACTCCAACTGGCCAATCCTTTTCATCCCCACATTCGACCGAAATATGCATTATGTTGGTGCCATTTTCAGGTGTGTACGCGTAAGGCAATACGGCTCGAATCTGACAACGCCGCCCAATTCGCCGGAGCCTGAGTTGATGACGGTGTTCGCGTACGACGTGGAACCAAAGTCGATGTCACTACATGTTGTTGTCGGATTCATTGTGTCGAACATTGTCACATTTGTCATTGGAGCGGCGATCGGGTTAGCAATCTATTCCATTACATTCAACTTTTCTTTTTAATTTTTTTCTAAAGACACGTGCTTCTTTACCACTATTTTTATTGAATCTTTGATTTCTCCCTAATCCGTTTTCAAAGTTCGGCAAGATTAGCTTCAAACGAAAGAGGTCATCGTCACATCTCCGTGGGTATACGAAAATTGTGTGTAAAGTGTATTGGTCGTTCCGTGCGACAAAGTGAAGGGAAAAGAATTTCGATACATAACTACAGTATTACGAATTTCGGTTGTGCAGGAAAGAAAGTTTAGTCCGACCGATTGCAGTAAGGTGTGAAAAGCAATTTTCGATGATGAATACCGTATAGAAAGTAGCGAGGAACGCTATCCTTATTCCTTCAATGCAGATCCTGGATTCCCTAGTCCGAGCTCGCACATATTTCATGTGTCAGATTGAATTGTTTTCTTTATTAGCTACTTCGGTGCATATGCTTCTTATAAGCCGCAAAGTCGAAGCTTATAATCAAAGCAACTCACCCCAATAACCAGGGCAAATCGTTGTTGGGGACTCTTTAACAGGAGGGAGGTTGTATTTGGTCGCTGGGAGGGTGGGGGTCGTATTTGAGCCGAGAAAATTTTTTGATAGTAGACTTTTCTTGTTTCAGAGACGTTGTGAAGGGAAGGGTCATTTGGTCGTTTTGGGATGGAGGGGAAGGGTCCTCCCCCCTCCCGAGAGAGGTTGCTGACTTTTCGTGGTTTTTCCTGTTTTACGTGTACTACCCTCCTCCCCACCCCCTCGGCAGCAAAATTTTTGGGTAAAAGTAGGAAAATACGCGGGGAAATTTCGAAAAAAGTGGTAGGAAGTCGGGGAAAATCTAGGAAAAGTAGAGGGGGTCGTGTTCGTGTCCTTTTCACAGGCGCTGTATCCCCCCGCTCGACGGCTCGATGAGGGGGGGGGCGGTACGGACTCGACCAAAATCCCCAGCTAATGATGTGCCCTACCACTAACTGTTCCATATAGTGAGGGAACACAGGATGGGGGGGAGGCAAGTTGTAAACCACTCACCTTTATACGGATAGCGAATACTCTGAATTGAAATACAGCACTTTCTATGTGAACTGCGACGGTTATGGTCTAAGGGCTTGAGGGGGCACATACAAACGACAGGTCACCCGGGGTAATCAGGTGAAGAGTCTTAAGCGACAGATTTGAAATTGTTGCGGTCGGTCAACTGCTGAAGGGTGAGAACAAACCTACGGGGATAATTGTCATTTGGAATATTGTAGGCTGGAGAGGAGGCTGTAGGGAACCCCTCCCCACTTCAGGATTAATCGGTCAATAGTTTCAAAGGCTGCCAGATGATTTGGGTTTTTCTTTTTTTTGGGTTCGGTGATTCTCAACGACAGTGAAACGAAAACGTTCAATAGAAAATCCAAAATTACGACAGTGAAACGAAAACGTTCAATAGAAAATAAAAATTCAAAGCAAATATAACTCACCTTTCTGGATTCAAGTCGAAAAAGTGTAATTTCAACTTTTACAAGCTGAATACAGCAGAAATATAGCAAACAGTACTACAGAAATCAGCTGCGGAAGAGTGAGCAGATAGTGGGGCGGCGTATGTTCGAGCGCAGAGTCAATATTGGAGAGCGCAGAGGAAGTGATGATAATTGCCCCGAGCTCCGCCTTTCCAACGACATGCAACTGTTCGCCAGCGTGGTCGGAGGACCGCCTCACTGGAAGAGAGCTGCTCCATACTAGAGAGCTGGCACCCTTCGCAGGCCTTTGCGCCTTTTGATCTAAGCTCTCCGGGGCGCGCCGAAGGCGGTTGTTCACCACCAACCTTAAAATAAAGAACCATGGTGGATGCGCGGCGATTAGCTGGG